ATTCCGCAAGTTAGAACTGATTTTTGATTTGAGTACAGTATACGATTTTGGGTACTGTAATTCGATGTGAGTCATGATCAGGCGTTCTTTGTCTCATAGACTACACATATCATATGGACGCAGGGTTTTACGTTTTCCGCTTGTGTGTAGCTATGCTTTCTGTGTATATCAAAAGAAGCGATTACAAATAGCCAGTGACTCTGGAAGGAAAATTGGGAGGATTTAGGAAGGTTAGGGGCTTGAGGAACAGTGATTAGACTAAAGGTTAAAGAGCAGTTAGGAATATTTTGTGCTGCCTATGCCGTAGCGTTAGCTTCCCATGTATTTGATGGAGAAGTTATTGAATGCGGGAAACAGGCGGTAAAAGTGGGAAGAATCTGGAAGCTTCGGAGCCGAACCTGAATGGTGTGAATCAAAATAAGCGTAGAGATGTAACTGACATTTCTTTCTGAGTTCGCTCCCTTTTTTGGCGCTTTCTTGTCGCTGTACCTAGTCGAACCTCCACAAACTTTGCGCATTTGTTTTTTTTTGCAATTTTTGGGCGAAAGCAACAGTCATATCTATCATTTCAGCACAAGTTCTCGATAAGAACACCTGGGTGTACGATGTGACTGGCTTGCTACAACATTGTGTCGCTGTGCTTCGCCTTTGTCATCAGCTCACGGATCAGCTGGCTGCTGTTCCATTGCAGCATGCGTCACCACAGCTCAGCCATATGTTGTGCCAGGCAACCCTTCGTGTCATGCCTCGTTTTGACGACTTGCTCAGCGCTGTAGCAAGTCCAGCGGTTAGTTTCGCTGGGTATGCAAGAGTTTGAGCAAGAAAAAGGTTTTTTTGGTTTAGGTTGATATTCGAGTGCTTGAAGCACGCGCCACAGCATTAGCCACCGTATGCTGGGCGTTATATCTACCGTTCTCGCTTATCAGCCAGAAGTATAGGGAGGTATGCCTGCTTCACTTTCTTTCAAAGGCCCCAATCTTTTTCTTTATGGTCAGTTTATAGGCGATGGGTGAGCCGCTGCAGCAAATGGACCACCATTTGGATGCTCTGCGTCAGGCAGCTGAAATAGCTGAGAGGGCCAATCTTGGCAAGGTAGCACATTTTTGACTCGTTTCTTTTCGATATATTTTATTTTTTGTGTTATAGCTAGAACTCGACTGGTCTCATTTGGACGCTGTCGCCGAAAATGTGGCTGCTCAAGAAAATGCCAAAGTAGTCACAGAAACGACGC